TTTTTTTTTTTTTTTTTTTTTTTTTTTTAAGGTATGTGAACACACATAATTTTAAAACATTTGTATATATATCCTGAACTTTAGGAAAGTGCATTTTAAGATTTTAAAATAAATATATAAAAGCTTGTTAAACTGGTAACAGAAGAATATGATGCCCATTTGAAAGAATACCATGATAAACAGTTACCAGCTTTCTACAAAGACAACCAACTCCCTAAAGCAGTGGTGCTCAACCTATGGCCCATGAACTCATATCATCTAGCCCACAAGGCTCTCCACAGGTCTGGATATATGGTGGCAGGGAAGCAGTGGCAGCATTAATTGCTCCCAGAGCCACAGCAATTAGTGCTGCCACTACTGTCCCACCACTGAATTTCTGGATGTGTGGGGAGCCTCACAGGCTGGATGACATGGCCCTGTGTGCCATCATGTGTTGGTGCACAGAATCAAGTCCACAGCTGGAGCTGACCTGCAAGTCCAGTTCATGGCCAGATGCCAGCATGCTGGACTGCAACAGTGGACCAGGTCTACACATGGGATCTGGCTTGTGGGACTGGATAGGTTGAGCACTGCCTTAATGGATTTGTTTTTAAGAGCTGACATCATCAGTACATGATATTTGCACACCTTATAGTTTGCCATTTAATATACATCCTTAGAAAGATCATATTTAAAATAATTATTCTACTTAGATTTTTACCTTAGTGAGAGCTTGTCCCAGTAACTTTTCAAATGCTTTAAGGTTTAAGTATGGACCATTATAATGAGGGTTGCTTTGAGCTTTCCTTCCAAGCCAGTACAATGTAATCAAAACCTAAAAGCCAAAAAAGTGAATTTTAGAAGTTCATTAGTTGGTTATTAAATTGACACACCATTTGAGCACAATGCTGCAGTTACTTTGGAGGTTTCCAAGTACTAATGCAATATATTTGTTAGTCTCTCAAAATTACTTTACCATGGCTATTGTGTTGCATCTAAATGCATCTTAAAGAATAAAAATTAATTCCTGTATTGAATTAACCTTTTCTGTTTGAGAAATGAAACCTGAAGGAAATCATAGTAAATTTGTACTAATTTATATCAGATAAATAGATAAGCTCAAGATGAAGCTAAGCATAGCAATAATATTACTAGATATGTTTTTATAAAACTTGAATTAGAGTGACATTATTTCAGAAAGTGTTAAAAAGTATCTTACATTTTTCACTCTTCTATTGGTCTCCTCTGGTCTACAAAGAAAAGAAAAGAAAAAAAGAAATTTAGTTTGAAGCAATTTAGTCCTTTAAAAAAACATTTAAAATTCATGAAGCCCATTTACAAGTTGGCATGAAACGTGGATATGTGACTCTTCACAGGCACATATTTTTTACTGTTCAAGAACTACTTATAAAAACAGACAGAAAGAACTGTATATTGAGTTTTTGAATACTTTCTGTAAATGGAATACACCCCTTTATTTAAATTATCTTAAACTCCATATGCATCTAGAAGATAATACTTCCCAAAGTATTTGCTTCAGTTGTGATCAAGCATACGTTTTTTCAGCCCGAAGAGAACGTTTCAAAATTCTGAGCAAGTGAATCTGGGAACATCTGGAGGGTTTTGCGTCATCTTTTTTTTTTTTTGGGGGGGGGGGTTGTTTTGTTTTTGGTTTGGTTTTTTGTGGGGTTTTTTGCTTTTGCTTTTTTTGCCATTGCTTTACTTGTAGTTTATCAGGTGCCTAGAAGCCTTCTGGCATTGGCAACATGTAAGTAACAAATTGTTATTTATTATTACTGCTGTTATTATTAGACTCCAGTGGGAGTGGGAGTTCCACATGGAGAGCACAGGTGGCACATGTTC